TTTAAAGGAATTGAGTCTTTGGAACAAACTCAAATGTTATCTTTGCAACCTGAAAATGATAACCTTTGATAATTAAAACTTAGATTATTTGATTAACCAGAATTCATAGATTGAAATATCTAAGGTTTACGACATTTGGTTGCAAAGATATAGGGATTAGAATATCAGAGTTTCTGACAAAGCCTCTATTCCTTAAACTGAACACATCAAGTTTACAGGAAACCAAGAAAGTCTAACCATGTATACCAAATTCCAAATAGTAAGCATTTTCAGCTCTTTTAAATTTAAAAAATTACAACCCCTGCTGATCTCCGAAAGTTGAAATTAATGAAAAATATTAAAAATTTAATGAAAACAAAGTATTTTGAAACGATTACTAAAAGTTGAAAACTGGCAGAATGGTGGATACTGATAAAACTTCTAGCCATACTAGGGATCAAACTTTTAAACACAAGTTTTATCTTATTTTGATTAAATTTTTTACTGATTGCAAATGATATTATTTTCAGCTGATTTTTATTACGATTTAGTTTATTGCAAACGACTTTTTTTACAGAGTTAAATCGCTATTTTGTTAATTGTCAATGCTTGGAAACAAAATACTTAGGGGTAAAAAATATCGTCGCATGTTATATGTCCATTATCCATACCTGAAAATAAACAAGATTTATAAGAAAAATTCATAAACAAAAAATTAGATCATAGTCCTGTAGAGTACTGCGATATCGGTGGGAAATAAATTAAAAAGTATAGAATATATATATTTTTAAACTACCAATAACAAAATAATACAAACATCATAACTTCGCTATGTTAATAACTTCTCTTTATGGCGTTAAAGGGAATATCAACGTTATTTCAAGAAACACTCCATTTATTTGCCTAATTTACAACAATATCCTTTAAACAATTGGATGAACTAGGACTAGGCGGATATCCTTGTCTATCTATCAATTTAAATCTCACTTGTGGATTTATGCATCAGAAACAAAGTGAGAAAATTGACAGAATTAATGTCATTTCAAGACAGAAAAAAGACGACATAAGTAGTGGTTTAAATTGGACATCTTACTCTTGAAATGGAAAGTCAAAGAAAAAAAGTTCTCAGTCTCTTTAAGAATGCAAACCCTACAATGATTGACGGAATGAAAAATGCTCTGATTGATAAAAACTCAATCTTGATTCAATTTCCCGAAAGTAAAGAGGGGGGTAATTGTATTTTCATCTTCATTATCTAAACAGCGAGCGGAGATGATTTGGCTCCGCCCAACCCAGAGTGATGAGATGTATGAAAACTTGGCAAGGTTCGGAGAGAAAAGAGCGAAGGTCTGGAGAATACCAGCCTCCAGTTCTATATAGAGAAGGAGGAGGAACAAAATTAGGATTTAAGCAAAAACGAGAAAGTACGAAACCAAGAAAACAAAAACTTTGTGAAAAAGTGAAGGTCTCTAGACCCAGACCCTGGCCTATTTATTCTAAACCTCATTAATTTCTTCTTTACAAAAAACTTTCCTCTCAAAGAATTATAATTGAAGAGAGATTTTCGAGGTTGAATCCTGTAGACGCGGAGAGAAACCAGGAGTTTAACCTTTCAAATCTATTATTAAACAGAGTTCTATTTATAGATTGTATTCTCTTCTATACAGTATCCGGGAGGACAGGGAGAGAAAACCGTTTGAAACATATTTGTCGTGTCAAATAATATAATTTTCTTTTTGTTTATATTTTCTATGTTTCTATTTCTGAAATACTGCAAGGTTTGGGATTCGCTAATGATAATATTATTCATGATAAACACTATATTAAGTCGGACTAAAATACTCTCTGGAAGGCAAGGTTTGATTAGCCCAGATTCTGGCAAGGTTTACTGTATCAGGAATCAGGGTTCTGAATATCCAGCTCTCAATCATTACTAGAGAAGATACAATGTCCGTCCTAAACTTTTGGGAGCAGGAAAAAAATCCATGGGGCGGGGGAGAGAGAGAAAAAAATGAAGAGAAAGCAAGGAGAAGATCAAAAGAAAATGAAGAGAAAGCATGAAGAGAATTAAAGGAAAATAAAGAGAAAGAATGAAGAAGCAAGTAAATTTAACTCTTTAGAAACTAGTTCAATCAATTATTTAATGAGGCTGTCAACGTAAGTTCAAGTGAAAAATAGCATAATAGTCTAATTAACAACATATCCTATAAACAGTATACTGTATACAGTATACTGTAGTAAACCATTAAAAGCCTAGGTTGAAAGCAGAATTTAATATTTTAATAGTCTCTGACGGTAACACTGTATGTTGAGGCGGATTCAACTATTTTATTTCTAAGGTACATATATGTAAACAATTTTAAGACTTTTGTGTGTGAGTCTGTTTTCTCTCTGACTCAAGAAAATTCTTTATACTTACTCATCCTCCTCCCCCTCCTCCTGATTA